TGTGTATCCAATCACCCAGAAGACTGAAGATTTCACCATGAATTCCAGATTCACGCACGGTAGAAAAGTACTGGCAGTTTCAGCATCAAATTACCAAAAGCTGTTTGAGAATAGGTATAATCATCAAACTCATATGTAAGAATGTAACCTGCTCTAGTAATTCATGAGCAGACCTGTAAGTCATGCCGATTGAAATAATTACAGCCAATACTCGACTTACAACCACAATCGAGCCCCAAATTTATGTTGCTAAGTGAGACATTTGTTAAGTGAGTTTTGCCCCATTTTACGACCTTTCTTGCCACAGTTGTTAAGTGAATCATTGTAGTCGTTAAGTTAATAACATTGCTGTTAAGTGAATCTGGCTTCCCCATTGACCTTGCTTGTCAGAAGGTGGTCACAAAAGCTGATCACATGAGCCAGGGACACTGCATCCGTCATAAATGTGAACCAGTTGCCAAGCGTCTGAATTTTGATCACGTGACTGTGGGGATGCTGCAAATGTCATCGAGTGTGAAAAACGGTCACGAGTCAGTTTTTTCAGTGCCGTTGTAACTTTGAACGGTCATTAAACAAACTGTTGTAAGTGGAGGGCTACTTGTATTTCCATTTTGCAACATCCTGGGTGAGAAAGGGAGGAGGAAAGTGCCATGGCAGGACAAGTAACTTCCTTTGCAGAAGACCCATGACATCTCCAAATGCCCAGGCAAATGTGACAACCCTTTGAAGAGAGGACATGGATTGCTGCTGCCAGTCCAAATAGCCTGAACCAGATGGACCAATGATGTGACACTTTGTTCGTAACACATTTATCTTTAATTGATAGGTGAAGGGAAAGAAAGTCAAAGAGAAGAACTGCCCACATATTATTAGGTATACTCAACACCTTGAAAACAGAACTCTGGACCTGGATAGAAGGTGTAGTTGCAAAGACAGTTCCCAACTTAAAGCATCCTGTTATGTCAGAGCATGCACAGTCTTATTGTGCTGAGGTAACCCAGGAGTAAATACAGTAAACAGTGGTTTGTAATTAAATGTGGTTTATATTAC